TTTGTTGGCTGTTATTTCGGAAAACACATATGGTTGCGCATGATCTGACTGCGGCTGGTGAAACATCACGAGGTGTTAAACCTATTCCGGTCGTCCCCGATGACAACAACATTGTGCAAATATCAAATAATGCAATAGAATCAATCCAAAATCTAAGTCAATCAAACCAAGCCCATAATTCTTCAGAAAATCTTGGAACTGATAGAAATATTTTGGTAAATTGTAATAACTCCGAAATAAACCAACACATAGATCGGTATGAACGTAGACCAAATAGACCAATTAATAGAAGTGCTGTTACACTCAACCGGTCAAGTTCATCCAACGGAAGTTTCAGTAGTCATCACGAAATATTTCCAAGTACTTCGGAAAGACCCGATTTAAATAATGAAATACCGGAAGGCACAGTGAGTGTAAATCAACAAGTGACTCTACCACTTCAATCTTCGCAGGTCCGATGTTCAACAGCCTATTTAAGCGATCAACAAGAAGTTAATTCGATAACGCGTGATCCGCAGACTCTTCAGATCAGTTTTGATCATTTGGATGAGAGCGAATTCGAAGACTTCCTGAGCGAACGTGAATCTGTCGAAAGTATCGACACTTCAGAACATGATCATAAAAACTTACAGTACTATTTAAGAGAAATTGAAAGAAAAGAACGACTATCGAGAACCAATATGAATGGAGTTGACATCCAAACACGTACACAAAATTTCCTAAAAAATTTAGAAGAACAATGTGATCGTTTTCTTCAACTACAGGAAAATATAGATTCCTCTCCAAATAGTGTTCATAGTGAAGAAGTTCTAAATCAACAACAACTATTTTCATCTCTTCAGAACTGTGGCGATAATACGATAACAGCGGTCGAAATTGACGAAGAAGCACCGCCAAATTATATCTCACAGCGTGAACGACTACAATCAACAGAATCTTTTATTTCTACCGACGAGTTTTTGAGTAGAATATCGGTAAGTATTTTTGACCCAAAGAACATTGCAAGTGGAGCATTAGATATAAATGCTCTACAAGAAACACTGCTAGACACTGTCCTGAATCAGAAGGCTGAACTTGCAAAGGTAATAAAACAAGCTAGCTACGACAGTCCTCCACAAGATACTGACATGATCGCTGGGCCTGAGATCGGAATAAGGGCAGCAGAAATCAGGGCGATGCAAGTACTCACAGAACAGGCCGAACATGGTATAAGGGCCCAAAATACGGAATCTTTAATATCACTTCAGCAAGTTGATAATGCAACCAATCGACGTCCTAGTACATTATCTTCATCTGAACAAAGACCTACAAATAGCGAGTTAAATGAACCTGGAGGAAATGCAGCTTCGCCGGAATATACCGACGCAGTGGCCTCAACAAGCAGACAGCTTGGGAGCCTTACTTCCACATCCTTAAAAGCCCAAGCTATTGCAAGATCTATTCCTAGTACCAACCGACGTCCTTGTTCATCTTCACCTGGACTGAGAGTTACAAATAGAAGAGCAAATAAATGTAGGGAAGATACAGCGACGTCGGAATATACCGGAGCAGTGGCATCAACAAGCAGACAGCCTCGAAGCCCTACTTGCACATCTTCAACGTCGGAATATACCGGAGCAGTGGCATCAACAAGCAGACAGCCTCGAAGCCCTACTTGCACATCTTTAACGTCGGAATATACCGGAGCAGTGGCATCAACAAGCAGACAGCCTCGAAGCCCTACTTGCACATCTTTAAGGGCCCAAAATACTAGACCATCTGTTCCAGTTCAGCAAGTCGATAATGCATCCAATAGACGTCTTAGTACAACCACATCTGGATTAAGATCTACAAATATAAAAGTTAATGAACGTGGAAAAAATACGTCGTCAGAATATACCGACGCAGTGGCATCAACTAGCAGACAGTCTGGAAGCCCTACTTCCACATCCTTAAGAGCCCAAAATATTGGACTATCGGTTCAACTTCAACAAGTCGGTAATGCATCCGACCGACGTCTTAGTAGTACATCTTCGTCCGTATTACGATATACAAATAGAAGAGTAAATGAGAGTAGAGAATATACAGCGTCGTCGGAATATACCGATGCAGTGGCGTCAACAAGCAGACAGTCTGGGAGCCCTACTTCCACATCCTTAAGGGCCCAAAATATTGGACTATCAGTTCAACTTCAACAAGTCGGTAATGCATCCGACCGACGTCTTAGTAGTACATCTTCGTCTGTATTGCAATCTACAAATAGAAGAGTAAATGAGAGTGGAGAATATACGGCGTCGTCGGAATATACCGATGCAGTGGCGTCAACAAGCAGACAGTCTGGGAGCCCTACTTCCACATCCTTAAGGGCCCAAAATATTGGACTATCAGTTCAACTTCAACAAGTCGGTAATGCATCCGACCGACGTCTTAGTAGTACATCTTCGTCTGTATTGCAATCTACAAATAGAAGAGTAAATGAGAGTGGAGAATATACGGCGTCGTCGGAATATACCGATGCAGTGGCGTCAACAAGCAGACAGTCTGGGAGCCCTACTTCCACATCCTCAAGGGCCCAAAATATTGGACTATCAGTTCTATTTCAACAAGAAGGTAATGCATCCGATCAACGTCTTAGTACATCTTCATGTGGATTACGATCTACGAATAGAAGAGTAAATGAGCGCGGAGAACATACGGCGTCGTCGGAATATACCAATGCAGTTGCTTCAACAAGCAGACAGCCTGGCAGCCCTACTTACACATCCTTAAGGGCCCAAACTATAAGTTTAGCATTTCTACTTCAACAATTCAATGATGCACTCAACCAAAGTCGTAGTAGATCATCTGGATTAAGATCTACAAATAGAAGAGTAAATGAGAGTGAAGAAAATACGCCGTCGCCGGAATATACCGACGCAGTGCCATCAACAAGCAAACAGTCTGAAAGCCCTACTTAATAATAATAGTTAATTACCTCTTAATAATAGTGGAAAATAATAATTAATATTTTGTAAAAATATGTCAATAGGTTTTAAAAGTATTTTTATAATATAAACAATACAAATATTTCTGATATTTAAACAAGTGTTAATAATCTTTTGTGCTTCGAATGGATTGTCATATTTTCCATATTTGATCATATTTTTTATTTCGCTATAATCATACCTTCAATTATTAAAATAATCTTTTTCAGTTATAGTTATTTCAAATTTTAAATATAAAGAAAAAATATTAAAAAAAAATTCAAAACTTTTCTACATTTGCATTATTTATTCAAATATTTAAAAAAAATTAAAATAGGACATCACAGAATACCATTTATATTATCCTCAAATCAATTTCGAATCTTTGTGATGGTCATTCTGAATAATTTTTGCCAAGTTCTATTTGGATTTTACAGATATGACAGTATCACTGGGAGAAGAATGTAGCGTAACAATACAAAAATATAAATAAAAAAAATAAAATCTTATAGCATTGTTAGGTCGGAAACTGTTAAGCCCACCCTTGTATATATAGACACAGCCACTCGCTAATCCGACACTAATAAAATCCAGAGGGTGTGGGATTACTAGTATATAGTAAAAAAGTCATAATTTTTCTTATATGACATTAGAAATTTCCAAAAATTTCCAAAATTTTCGCTGGCGAGACTGTCGGATTACTGGAGGTGTCGGTCTATCAAAATGTTAAATGGTGAGATATATATATATATATATATATATATATATATATATATATACTCCATGGTATGAGTATGTGCACATTGATAAAATATATATGTCACATTTTTACTTAAAGCAGTTTTTAGCATGTGCTCAAATTTTATGGGAAATTTAAAAAGCGATGGGTCTTGTCATTTTTAAAAAAATTTTGAAACGCTATTAAGAAACCATGTGTTAGTCTCGTTCAGGCCCGTATTGTCAAAACGTTTGATTATGACGTTGTCGTTATGTAATTGTAAGAACAACCCCTCAGCGAATCTTCTTTTAATTACGTTCTCCTCAAAATGTAATATTTTAGGGTTGAAAAAATCTATATTACGGTTTAATTCAATATACTTAGTTAACATCGTCTTAAATTGCTTCGGATTTTTTGAGTTATTTTTATGTTGGTGAAGACATTTACTTAGGTTTTGGCTAGTTTCTCCGATATAAAAAAAGTTCGCAATTAGAGCAATTAATCTAATATATCATGTTCCTGAGAGGCGGTCAGAATCAAATTTAGATTTAATTTGTGTAAAAATTGAAATAAGGGTTGTATCGCAATTACATACCAACAAAATGCCACATTGTTGAAACAGTTTTTTCCACGAAAAATATTAATCTTTTACGTACGGTAGGCAAATGACACCAGTATTTGGCTCTGAGTCTAAACGGTTTTTATGGTCGATGAGGCCGTTTTGTTTGTTGATATAGTAATTGCGGCTGTTATTTATGACTGAGTTAATTATGTTTGTAGGATAAGAGTTATTTTTAGTGTGCTTATTACCAGGTCAACTTTGGTGTCCCAGAAATTTTTATCAGATAGTAGTATGGCGTAGTCTGTTAAATTTATTATTGTTGCTATTTTCATTTTACGATGGTGGTATGAGTGGTAATTTATATATCGTCCAGAGCTAGTTGGTTTCTGGTACCAGTTAGTAATTAGTCGGTGGTCATTTGTACGTATTAGTCTGATGTCTAGAAAGCTAATCGAATTCATTGTCTCTAATTCCACAGTACACTAAAAATGAAGGCTAAGATGCTAGCCGAAACGTATGGATTTTAAATAAATAAATTTCTAAAAAATTTTCATACTATTTTTATTGATGTAACGCCCGACTTTTTAACTCAAACTAAACATACATATATATAACAAATTTTCATCTATATAATTATAAAAATATATATCAAGTACTAAAACATCGTATAATATGAGTAAATGGATTCGATTTAGCAGTTACTGAATTCATCAATTGTAAAAAAAGATACTTCAAAGTTTAAAAAGAGTTTAAATAAAAGCAAAATAAATGTACTTACAGCTCTGGTGGGTTGCAAGCATTCGATACCGTATAGTCCTTTAGGGCATTCACAGGAAAAGTTGTTTCCATGATCGATACATAATCTGTTTTTTGGACAGGGATCTGGATTGCAAAGATCCACCTGCAAGTAGTTCACTACAATTTATACTAATGTATAATAATAATAACTTTAATGTGCAGATATAATATAAAGTTTTGAAGTTCTAATACGTTGAAATAAAATGATTACAGTAAAACCTGTTTTTGGGGTGCATTTTTATGCGTTGTATTTGTTTGCGACTTGTTTTGGCACCAATTTTGTTGCAATTCATTTTTATGCGGTATATGCTTCGACATACATACGTATCCATGATTTAAATGATTAAAATTAAATACTTTTACAATTTCTTTGGGACCAATTTAATTGTTTGATGCAACTGAATCATTGATGTATTTTTTAGGTCCCATTTTGCTATCAATATACATCGCATAAAAAATGTCATTCAATATATCGTACAAGGTTGTTTATTATATGTAATAATTTCAAATAAAGTTTCAAATATTTTTTTGTACGTTTTCTTTTATTATGTCCCATAAACCACACAAAAACAGGATTTACTGTAGGTGTTTCCTACTTTTCACGAATTTTTTTAACATTTTGATGAGTTTTGACAAAAAACTTACTTATAGGTTTTAATAAAAATAAATTACCTTTATCTCACACCTTTGCCCCATGTAACCTTGTTTGCAAAGACAGCTAAAACCATTTATCAAATCGGAGCAAATTGCTTCATTCATACACGGCGAAGAATCACATTCATTATATTCATATTCGCAATTGAGACCGGAAAACCCTGAAAGATATAGTATGTATATTTAAAAATGAAAGAATAAATAAAATGTACATTTTAAGTTGTAATAAACCTTTAATCCATCTGAGTTCACAAGGGTGGTCCTTAAAATGGTCATTTTCGAATTTCCTTGCTCCCACGGGCTCAAATGGTTCCAAATTGATAAAAAACAATTCTCTGAAAGTTTTAGCTCTTAATATTAACGTTTAGATAGATTTTTTTTAAATTTTCAAAATTTTTACCATGCTCTTTCCATACAAACTTTGATTAAATTGCGCTCTATCTAAACGTTAATATTAAGAGCTAAAACTTTCAGAGAATTGTTTTATCAATTTGGAACCATTTGAGCCCGTAGGAGCAAGGAAATTCACTTTTTTGCTCTTGGTTTATAATACACAAAGGATAATAAATAATAGATTTCTCGTTTTTCATTAATTCCAGATATTAGTGCAGGCAACTGCATACATAGCAATGTCTGAGAAGTTATTATATCACGTTTACAATATTATATGATAATGGTTTGGTGTTTTAAAAGGTTATACAAACTGCGATAATTGATTATGTAAATCATTCGATTATTTTTCTCTAAAAAATCTGAGAATTTATTAACTTGCATCAAGTGAGTTATATACAATTTTAAAGTTTAATAAATTATAATTAAATAAATATAAATTTGCGATTAGGAATGACATCTATTGCAGAACCATAGTACGAAACCGCTATTTTATTCCTTAGTTTTTGTGTATGAACTAACTTTACTATTTTTTGTATAAGATGATTTAATTTGCATAATTTATGCCTTAATATTCTCCTTTTGCGTTGGTGATTACACATGTCATTTTTTTAATTTCCGAGTATTATCAATTTTTCTCGAACGATGTTGTTCTCCAATTTAATCCTAAGCCAGTTTCAATATACATATTTATTTATTTCTATAATTAAATCTTTTGTATATTTTTCTATATTTCAAAGTTTCAGTATTAATATGTTTTCAAATATACTTCAATACTTTTAGTGTGAAATATCTCTATTTGAATTAATATGCTTCAACTTTTTTGAATAGTTTGAGAAGTATTTGTAACTATATTGAATAGATACTAATTGAATAGAAAACTGACACTGCAGCATGAGAATGCGAGCCGCCCAAGTATTTGTTACACGGTATAGTTTAATTTTTTTAAATATTATCAATTAAATACATTCAAAACTAAAAATTGCACTTCCAAAAATGAATAACAAATTCAAATTCCCAATACTTTAACTCAAAGTGATATTTTTTTAAGCAAACGACGACACCCGAATGTCGCATAATTGCGACATTCGTGTGCAAAGGTCGTCAAGCGGTTGTCGCCCATAGACGACACATGCAGTGAAACATTTATTTCAATAAATTATTTTTAATTTGTTGGTTAGTATGAGAGCATTTGCATCCGTCTTAGGCGGTTGAACCGCCATCGGCAAAACTACATTTTATAACTCATAATCAGGGAAAGTTGGATGAATAGAATAACAAAAAAAGTATTTCAATAGTATAAGGAGAAATGTATTGAAAAATCGTACAGTACGATCTTTAATTAACATTCCGAAAGTTATCTAGGCTATAGTAATAGAAAACTAGTGGGGCGCATGGCATCGTGCCTTAAGGCAAATTGCTGAAACTTCCCATACCAAAAAAATTTTTTTTAAAAAAGATTAACATTTTTGAAAAAAATTTACTCTGAAAAAATTAGATTTTCGTCTAACGAATTCGTCTAACGAATAAACATTGGTAATGATCTCATAGGAATGTAAACAAAATTTATACTTATTGTTAAAATCTCTATAAAATATCTGTGCATAAGTCTAATGATCATTTTTGACCGCCAAATGGCATTTTTTATTCCTTTTTTTACTAGATATCCAAAACCGCTACAACTGCCTTCATGAAAATTTGATCAGTTCTTTATCTTGTTAATACAAGTAAAATGTTGGTTGAATGATTCAAATCGGACGCTCCGATCTCTTAAAAACTAAGTTACCGTTTTTGGCACTTTTTGCCCCATATCTTCGGAACGGCTAGACCTGCCTTCGCCAAAAACTAATCAGCACGTCTCCTTATCAATACGAATCGAATTATTTTTGAATTATTCAAATCGCTTCATCCGTGTTCCCGAAATTGTCGACAAAAATTTGTATACGCCCACACACACATACACGCACATACAAACACACATACGTCCATTTTATCTAAGGTATGCCAAAATGTTCAGAAAGTTTTGAAACGTGAAGATATATAAAAAATTTCATTTTCGATTTTTTGCGATTACTATAACTTGAGGCAAGTTACATGAAATTCCAGATATATTTAAATAATCGACTTAATCAATAAAAAATAAATTAATTTATGAATCATTAAAAGTATTCCGAGTGGATTTATTACACATAATTGAAAACGAACGAACACTTTGACTCGGAGTATTTTCTAAAAGCAAATTTTCAAAAATCAATAATTTTTATAATTGAACCAGTTTTCAGGACTTTAATGGTTTATTATGTTCAAGACCAAGTACTCTATCATTATACCAAGTAAATAGTCTAATTTTAATTTAAACAAATGCCAAAAGAGCTACTCATTTTCTCAAACTTTGATGAATTTTTAAAATCAAACTATTTGTCGTAAGGCCGTAATATTTCAGTAAGTTCTATAAGACCATGGTATATATCGCTAAAAAAAATTCCTTAAAAATCGGCTTAAATTTTTTTTTCAACAGTTAATTACAAGAAAACGGCTCGGTAGATTTTCACCTAAAACTAATCAGTATCATTCCCAACTAATATCTTTCGAACAGTTTTTGATTTTTTAAAATCGGTTCGGTACGATGAGCTTAAATGTGGACGAAAAGTTTAACACTTTTTTTCAAATTACAAAGAAACGGCTTGGCAGATCGTCGCACAAAACTGACAAACGATAGTCCTCACCGAAATACATCAAATGGCTTTTAAATTTCTGAAATCGGTTCAGGTGCTTTTGAGAAAACGTCGATCAAAAGTCTAATTTTGACAAATGTCAAAAAAACGATACCAATTTTTGCAAACTTTGACGAATTTTTAAAGCTAAAAGAGATGTCGTAGGGCCGTAATATTTTAGTATGACCTAGAAAACTATGGTATCTACTGTCAAAAAAAAAATCATAAAAATCGTCGAAATTTTTTTTAAAAACGTTATTACAAGAAAATGGCCCGGCCGATCTTTACCAAAAACTAATCAGCACGATTCCCAACCAATATCTATCGAATAGTTTTTGAATTTTCAGAATCGATTCAGAATTGCGGGCTAAAACGTGGACGAAAAATTTTTCACTTTTCTGCAATTTACAAAGAAACGGCCCGGCCGATCGCCGCACAAAACTCAGAGACGATAGTCCTCATCGAGATACATCAAATGGCTTTTAAATTTTTGAAATCGGTCCAGCCGTTTTGAAGAAAACGTCGATTTACGGCAAAAAATCTGTTCACACACACACACACACACACATACACACATACACACACACACACACATACTTTTTCCAAATTTGGTCTCATTCGATTCAGAATGGCTTGAAACGTCGAGAAAACATAAAATTAGCGAATCGGATTTTTTGATGAAAACATAAACTTCTCCTTCGGGAAGTTAAAAATCGAAAATATTTTTTTTATATAACTTTACGTTTCAAAACCTTCTAAACGCTTAAATAATTAGTACAAATTTTGTTTACATTTCAATGGGTTCCGTACCAATGTTCATTCAGCTTCGATATTTCGACTCTTCTCAACTAAAGCAGCGCGTTTGAAAAAAAGATCAACAAAAAAAGTCGTTTTTTCGAAAAATTTTAAAATTCTCAAAAAGTTATTTTTTTCAGTTTTCTATTTATTTTTAATCCTTTTCTCGGTTCGTTAAGATACGATACCATGGCCCACTTCCCCAGTTTACTTCTAATGTAATTCCACGTGACTTACCGTAAGGGCACAAACACTGGTAAGTGCTGCCCTCGGGTCCTTGCGAAACATCAACGCAGATACCATTATTCGTGCAAGGCGACAGATGGCAAGCATCCCGTTCTTCGCAATGAGGTCCTATGAATCCTGCACAACATTGACACTCGTAGCTTTCCTGCAAATATTAAATATAATAATTATACTATATATATTAATTATTTTACAATTTTCAAAAAAGACTAAAACTAGTCGCACATTCCTGATCTATAAACAAAGATTAATAAAGTTATTAAAAAAATCCACAAAAATTAATAATAATAAAATTCTTGCAAATATATTAGGGTACAACGGGGCTTAAAGGTCCGCGGGTAAAAAGATCCACTACTAGTATCTCAGAAACAAGTAAAGTTGGGAATTAATAACAATATTTGAAAGTAGAGGGAAAATATGTGCAATCAGAAATCGCCTTGAATCATGCAACGTCGCTATCAGGAGATAAATGGCCATGTTTGAAAATGTATAACAAAACAATTTGTTTTTGTTGTTAGCCTTTTTATTTATTTGCACTATAATTTAGTTTACGAGACCTTAACATAATTTTTAAGTGTACGTTATTTAATTGTTTTATAATATGTAGTATTAATTTTAGTTTAGATTCGGCAGATGTTTTTATATATCCTTAATGAACTTATAACAACAATGTCTGTATAATAATAACCTCCCCCATCTATAAACTACCATCACAATGGTTATTATCGATGGTGGTTATCATTATAAGAATATTATGTTCAAAGTAGACACTTACTTACCATGGAAGTATTTGAAAAGCACAATCCTTTAAGTGAGCAATCTTGATTTTCACCGCAATTGTCAGATTTTACTGTGACATTCAATCGGATACATTGATTTCCCCACAATTCAGATACAACTACAAATAAATCCAAGATACTAAATATCAATAAAAATTTAAAAAAATAGACATAAAAGTTAAGTATTGTATGCAACTGTAGGATAACTGATTTGTGTCAATCTCGTGATCGCTTCATATGCGCAAATATAAATTTACTTTAATATATACATAGCTATCATTTAATGCTACTAAAGATGAAATTTTTCTACCAATCGTTAAATATGTTCTCGTGTCTATGACTCATCGAAATACTAATATACTTACCGATTAAAAGATTGACGCCTTCTGTTAAATCTTTATCGTATAAGGTTACCAATTTCTTGCCATCCACTAACAAGGGTGTTATATCGAGGAGAATACCTTCGGTAACGTCGCAGTTTGCGTGGCCTGGCCTTGTCACTTGGTATACGGCAGTTTGAGAAGCACTGTGGTGCGGTCTACGCAAAAATGATTTTTTAAATTTATGTTGATATATATATATATATATATATATATATATATATATATTATAGATATTATGGGAATTTTTGGTATCGATTGGAGAGACCGCAAGCTGATCCAGAATCTGTATATATGGGACAGAAAGTAAATGTTCGAGTGAACCAGGGTGATACAAACAGCGTTGAAATAGGTAGGGGAGTACGGCAAGGACGCTGCAAGTCACCGATCCTATTCAACCTGCACGGTGAATGGGTCGTCAACGAGGCACTTGAGGTAATTTTTCAATTGAAGGAAGAAGAATCACCACCATAGTGTGCAAAAGATCTCGTGGTGATATAGAAAACTCAAACAGAACTAGAAAACATAATGAGCAAAATCGTCAAAGCGGGTAGAAGATACGGAATGGAGATCAACATCAACAAATCGAAAGTGATGAGAGTATCAAAACGAGATGATCCTCTGAAGATAAGTGTAGGAAATCGAGAATTGAAAGACGTCGTTCATTTCAAATAATTAGGGAACATTCCGACCAGAGACGGATACTTCACGAGAGATCAGGACAAGGATCGCAAGCGCCAAGGCTGCGCTCACAAAGAAATGAACGCTACTGACGACTAATTCTCGAATTGCGGAAGAAATTGATAAAGTGTTTTGTCTGGAGCTCTGTACGGATCGGAGACATGGACTCTAAGATAGGCCGACAAAAACTATCTGGAGGCTTTTAAAATGTGGTGCTAAAGGCAATAAAAAAATAAAACAGACGAGGTAACAGATAAAAGTCCTAATAAGGTTGGGCAAAAAAAGAACTCTACTGAGCACGATCTTGAACAGGAAAAGAAACTGGATTCGGCTCATTCTGCAAAAAAGTGCCACCTACACGACGCTGTCTAAGACCAAATAGAAAAATTAAAAGGATTGAGAAGAAAATAATGCAGATTGTCGATGACTTACAAAGTTTGGAAAAAATAAACAAGCGAGGGAGAGGGATTTATTGATATGTAGTGCTCTCATACCATGGGCCTGCCTTCGGGCAGATATATATATATATATATATATATATATAAGGTGGTCCTTAATATGGACATTTTTGAATTTCCTTGGTCCCAAGGCTCAAATGCTTCCAAATTGATAAAAAAAATCCTCTATAAGTTTTAGCTCTTAATATTGTCTTTTAGATAGTGCGCAATTCAAAGATTTGTATGAAAATGGCATGGAAAAATTTTCAAACAATTTAAAAATGTTTTTTAGATATACCTTAGCAACCAAATGAATGAGTTTTATTTTAAATTCGACGCCCTATAAAACAAATTATGAAAAAACTGTTTTGCAAAACGTCGAATTTTCAATAAAAAATGACACGAATTGTCACTTTTAATTCATTTGTCGATAAGTTATACATAACAAAACATTTTTAAAATTTTCGATTTTTTTCCATGCTATTTCCATACAAAGCTTTGATTGAATTGCGCACTATCTAAAAGTTAATATTAAGAGCTAAAACTTTTAGAGATTTTTTTTATCAATTTGGAAACATTTAAGCTTACGGGAGCAATAAAATTCGAAAATGTCAAGGATCACCTGAAAAAAAAAATATATATATATATATATATATATGTGTGTGTGTGTATGCCTAAAATATACATATACCCTCATTTATTATTTATTATATTTTATATTATATTTACTCACTTTTCATCTCGGTCGTTGCTTTTGCTCACTGCAGTAATATTTTGAACGGATTCTGTCGCCATCAATTGCTTATCATCGATCCTGACAAGGAGAACATCTCCGCTTTGAATTTCCGCATATCCTTCCCAGCTGAAAATCATCGGCAAGCAATCTGCATCCTGAGGGCAATTCTCAGGTGTCTAAAAATACCGTAATACATTTGGATATATTAGTTATATTAATTGACATATTTTTTTATTTATTAAATTAAAAACTAATTCAACAGTGCTCAATAATTAATTATCGTTGTATGAAATCATGCAGCATTTGTGATAGTAAATCGACCTGAATGGAATTAACTCGTAAGCACTAATATAAATTTTGCTGGCTTTTGAGATACTGTAAGACACATAACAAATGATTGGTAATTAATATTTTATAAAATAAAAATAATTTAAAGCGTATAAGTTCCAGTTCTGGCAGATTATTGACTTTCTGTGATAATATTCAACTACGTGTGAGCGGCATTTTTTGGCTTGAGGCAAAAAATCCGATATGCGTAAATAATAGACTTAATAAAATTTAGCTATTTATGTATATGAAATTTATATATGAATATTTATTTATTATGAAATTTTCAGTTGCTTATTTTAAAAATAAAGCCTACGCATTTACAAGAAACCAATCAAAGCAATTTTTGAGTACGAGTTTGTGTGTGAGAATATTTTAGAATATTCGTTTAGACTTGGACTATAAATTAATCACCAATGTAAGTTTAATTACAAGCACAAAAGGGGTTAAAAATTTTGTTACAAAAAACGACACGGCCGATCTATGCCAGAAACTTATCACCATGATTTGCGACTAATACCTCTCGAACTTTTTTTAAATTTTCAAAAAAGTCCAGAATGTTTTGCAAAATTGAAAGAAAAATTTTGCACTTTTCTACTAATCTAAAGAAACAGCTCAACCCATCGTCTTGTAAAACTAGCAAATCCAAGTTTCTTATCGAGTTACATCGAATGGATGTTGAACTTTTGAAATCGATTCAGCCGTTTCTGATAAAACGTCGACAATGGGTTAGAAAACAGCTCTTACATATTTACTTTTTTCAAATTTCGTCTCAAAGGTTTAAGAATGATTTGAAACGCCCAGAAAATATAAAATTACTAAATCCCATTTTCTGGCGAACACATAAACTTCTTATTCGAAATGTTAATAATAATAAATGTAGAAACTGCATACTTTTGTCCTAATTGCAAGTGACTTATCAATATTGTGAGATATCTTATAACAGCCAATATCGTCGCTTTGGAAACGCTGTTGACAGATTTTTTCTATTATTATAGGATGTTCCTGACGACGCATATTCTGAACTAGCGGTCGTTTAGTTTTATCGCATATGGGAAAATTATCAATATCAGAATCATGTAGTATTTTATTATTTTTCAAATATATTACAGACTTAAATCGTTATTAAATCATGCCGAAGTATTATCGTATGTACGTATGGAGAGGCCATTTATTACGTAGTAGTGGTATATAATATTAACATAATTATTTATTTTGTTGCTTGCGTTCCATTGTTATTCTTATGTTGGATGTAAACTCATAAGACAGATCAAATTAAATTTTTCCAACATACCTCAAATATTTATACAGGGGCGATTTTTCATATACATTTTTTGAGTTTTATATTTCATTAAAATTTTATGAGAAAATTCAACATATGTGATCAAGATTATGGATTTATCAATAATCAGAAATTATTTTTCTTTGCCTATATATATATATATATATATATATATATATATATATTGTGTGTGTGTGTTTGCATTTACCGTAAATATCTCATAATATATTTCTCATAATAAATATACTGGCAATTTTCCATACCAAGAAGTTGCCTTACAACGCGTTTTTATTCTAAAATTTGGCTTCAAATCAAATACGATACTCATCAAAATCAATATAGCATCGTGCCATACACAGACTACATATATTTTTTAGTCGTTTTGTTAAACGTTTAAAATATTTTTAATTAAACATGCAATGTTTCCAATATTCATATAAAAATTTAATGTGATCGAAGTGTAAATATATACATTCAAACTTAACAGTAATCTCAGACTGTATATAAAAAATAAATGCTTCTGAAACCAAAAGAAAACTGGATTAGATTTATTGTTTTTAAAAAGTACTTGCTCTTTATTTTAAGAATAAATAAAAAACCTAAAGAGGGTGAAAACAGAAAAATGCAATGATTGATGACTCGCGGTAGATTTCCAGAGAAAAAACAAAAGAATATAGCAGTCAGGCCTTAGACTCCGAGACTTAGAGGATATTACGAATTATGGTATATATATATATACTATATATATATATATATATATATATATATATATGTATGTATAATGGAATGTGTCATTTGGAAAGATCAGATGACCGATTTAGGGTAGTAAAATTTTATTTAAAATTTTTTATCAACTTTGATAACTTTTTGAATCTAAATCAAATATATTAATTTAATATCCCGTAGCGTAAGTTATAGTAATGGGCCAAAAATCGAAAATGAAAATTTTTGCATATCTTCACGTTTCAGTGGTTTCTGAACATTTTGGCATACTTCAGAAAATATGGTGTGTATGTGTTTTGTATGTCCGCATTATGTTTTCGAGCGCACTGATCGAATGATTTGAATCGTTCAAAAAGCATTCGATTCCTATTGATAGGGAGATGTGCTGATTAGTTTTTGGCAAATTCAGGTCCAGCCGTTACGGAGATACGAAACAAAGAGTGCAGAAATTAGAAATCGAGTTTCTGAGACAACGGAGTATCCGATTTGAATGATAAAAAAAACATTCAATTTGTTTTGATTGGAAAAAGTGGTGATTAGTTTTTGGCAAAGGCAGGTCCAGCCATTTCGAAGATACAGCGTTAAATGTACAAGAAATAGAAGTTTTTAAGAGAACTAAGCATCCGATTTGAATGATTCAAAAGACTTTGTGCTTGTGTTGACAAAACAATTGCTTTTGAGAAAAAAAATTATTCCAAAATTTGTTTTTCAAAAAAAATTATTTTTGTATATCCAAAATAATTCAGATTTTAATTTTAATTCTGACTAAAATTCTAAAGCTCACTTATATACTTTAAATGAATAATTTCAACTTTGCAATTCAGTTTATATAATTCTTATAAAAATTAGACGAAAACATTTAATATTCCTCGAACATTTCGTTACGGTACGGGTAGTTCCAGCAATTTGTCTTAAGGCACGATGCCATACACCACGAGTTTACTAGATTTTAATTAATTCACTGAATGTAGGGTATAACTTTAACTGAAAACATGAATTTTAAATAAACTCATATAAATCATATGTTACAAAAAATTACTTTTTTTTGAAAAAAAAATTTATTGAGAAAAAAAAAGTTTTCTTTATTTTGACATATTTTGGAAATTCTGAACTTTTTTTTCAAAGCAATCGTACTGCTTTAAATGCATAGAGACGAAATATTGAAGCGCGTCTAATGGATAAACATTGGTACGGAACCCATAGGAATGTAAACAAAATTTATACTTATTGTTAAAATCTCTATAAAATATCTTATAATTTGATGTGCATATGTCTAATGATCATTTCTGACCGCCAAATGGCATTTTTTTTACTGTTTTCACTAGATCTCCGAAACCGCTAGTCGTGCTTTCATGAAAATTTGATCAATTCTTCATCTTGTCAATACAAGTAAAATGTTTTTTGAATTATTAACATCGGACGCTCCGTTCTCTTAAAAACTGAGTTACCATTTTTGGCACTTTTTGCCCCGTATCTTTAAAACGGCTAGACCTGCCTTCGCCAAAAACTAATCAGCACGTCTCCTTATCAATACGAATCGAATGTTTTTTGAATTATTAAAATCGGTTGATTGGTGTTTCCGAAATCGTCGACGAAAATTTGTATCCGCACACACATACATACACGCACACACACACACATACATCCATTTTTTCTAAGGTATGCTAAAATACTCAGAAACCTTTAAAACGTAAAAATATATAAAAATTTTCATTTTCGATTTTTTTGCGATTACTATAACTTACCCTACGGAAAGTTAATTAAGTAAAAAAAGCAATTTCACAGGAGATAAATTAAATAAATAGGTATTCCATGATGATTTTTTAATGAATTTTTCTGACAAAATACCAGATCAAGGTTATATACAGTGTTATCTCTGTAAAATATGTACCCATAAAATTTATATTTTGCATTGGTTGAATAATGTAGCTATTATTTCAAAAAAATCCTTTAAAATTGAAAATGAGACTTTGGGCTTGTTTGCCCCAAGACCAACCCATGTGGTAAACAGCAAAATAACACATTTCTGCAATAATGAATTAGCTGTCAGATAGTTGTGTGTTTGATATGTGTTATTTGTTGCTATATAATTGGTTTGGTTTTCTCAACATAATTGCTCAAAGTCAAATTGTCCTTTATACCCTGCCACACTGTCATATGTATATATGAATGTCCATTAAAATATGATGAGAAAAAAATACAAACCGTCATCGGCAGCATGAGCTCTTGGGTTTGATTCCCTCGCCAGATCTTCAAGTCGTTCGACGGGAGCGACAAGTCGCATCCCAGGGCATCGGCTCGTTCTTGTAACGAGTTAATGATGAGCGCGGGAAATCGAGCGATTTCACTTGCCGAGTGCTGCGATATTGATTTGTTGCCACTTGTAACGGATCTATTGTTCGAGGACGATGCTTTTTTCGGGACGTTCGGGCCCGTCGAATCCACGGCGACGTCTTTAGTTGAATTAGCCGTCTTAGGTGGTATTGCAGTAGAAATATGTGATTTATTATTCGGTCTCGGGATATAAGAAGATTTGTTAGGATTGATGGGTTTCTTTGTTATGGATAAAGTTTTGTTCGGCGTTCTATCCAAACTTTTTACTATCGCCGAAGCGGTAGTGACATCAGTCGATTTAAGTTTTGCTGGAACTTTAATTTTTATCTGTGCCAATTTTTCACCAACTTTAATCGGCTGCGGTTTTTGTGTGTTATTTTCCACCTCTTTACTTGATATTACAGGCACGGTATCAGTTTTCGACTTATTCAATATATCTCCGACACTCGCTTCTTGTTTTTCGCTTAAACTCATTTTTACAGTGTCAGGTACAACTGTTACAGTTTTTTGTGATAACGTTGTTTTGTGTAATATGATTTTATCCGGAGTAAGTGAAGCAGATGTAGTTGATTTCAATGATGTATTTTGCGATTCTAACACAGTCTGTGTATTACCTGTATTGTATGGTTTTTGGACGGTTTTGTTAAATTGTTCATTTTCACTTATTGTGTGTAAAGTTTTGGTAGGTAATACGGTTTTCACTTCTGGTGAATCCGTTTTATATGCATCAAATGGTTTAGTTAAACTTTTCTGTGAAATTAATGAATCGTATAATTTGGTTCTATCGATGGTCGCACTTGAGTTTGGGCTCGGTGTTAAAATTTCACTTGGTTTACTTACAAATACACTTGGTTTTGTACTAAACGTTTCTTTTGTCGGCGTTGGCAACTTTTTGGTCAAATTGGAAGTTTTTGTTGTATGTGTTTCATTTGCTTTTGCTAAATAGCACCACAGTAGCAGGGTAATCAGAGCGCAGGTCCTCATCTTGTCTGTAAATAAAAAAAAATATAATAAATTAATATCTAACACATAGATTTACAAATATATAATAATTATGTCTTTGCTATTAAAAAGTTATTTTAATATCCGATCAGTTACATCTGCATTTAATAATGCATTTTATATTTTGATTATGTTTGATTTGATTTGATTAGTAGATTCAGCTACCAGAAAAAAAATGGTATTGTACTGTTAATAAAATAAATATATTTTAAAACATTTTCTGGTTAAACTCGTTATTCAGGATGTCTTAGACCTCGGCGTCACGCCAAAACGGAGTTAAGATATTAACTAACTGTCCTCAAAAAAAAAAAAATAGAAGAAAAATATCTCACGTTGTTAGAATATTATGAGCTTTTAAGTTCTCTCAATGCCTATCGATTTTAAAAATTTTGAATTATTATTTTGAATTAACAAAAACTTTTAATTCTTGAAAACTTGAGACAATTGTGGTATTTTTTTGATGTGGTCCTAGAAATGTTTTACACGGTTATCGTTCAAAAGTTTATAAACAACATTAATATCAAAAGTTAACCACAATAACCAAAATAATTGACAATTTCACCTAAGCTTTATTTCATAATTTCCAAACAAAGTGATTAATTTTTTTTCAGGACAGTTAAGGTCAATAGTATAACCCCGTTTCGGCTTGACGTCAAGGTCTGGGACACCCGGTATATATATATATATATATATATATATATATATATATATATATATATATATATATATTTATACCGCAGAAAAAAAACGAGCAAGCAAAATTTTCTCCCCTGTTTGTCGACCGACTTTCCAACTGTTATTTTAAGAGCATCATTTTTTTAAAAGAAGAATTTCATGCTATAAATAGTTCTATTATTTGTTTGCTGATAAAATAAAAATAAGCTATGACACAAGGGTAAAATTTTTATTATTTCTCAATATATCGAATACAAGAGTCATAATATGATATGCGTTATTTGTAGTCTATTATTGTTATGCAAATTTATTTTTCCGGAAAATCAGTTGCAATTCTCAGTGTTTGAACAAGGATCGAAGAATAATAATGTGTTTATAATAATTGTGCAGCCATAGGTATAATAAAAATTAATTAATAAATAAAAGAACAGCACCCATACACATAATAAAAATATGCGTTGATCTATGTTCAATTTATTATTTCAGTAACGTTTAGGGTAAAATATTTACAGGCCATAAAACTGTACTCAATTTAGTAACAATGAAAAAAATTACGATATATTTTTACTGTTATAAAAATATTTCATAATATTAATATTTGTACAAGACCATTAGTAAAACGACTTCGACTCGCACTTTTTTTAATTCTTTTATTTTTTTCTTCGATATCAGTACATGGCGTTATTAAATGGATAAGAAGCTCATGAAAGTAGGAGTTTTCAACTCACCTAGCCTCAAAGATTAAGGATTAAGATATATTCCATCATGCATAAAAGCTATTAAAGATGACACGGTTTTTAAATTATCTGGCCAGATTTATAAAAAATGCTTTCAAATTATGCATAGAATGTCATTAAACTACGTCGTAGTGAATTTTATATATATATGGTTGATGTAAATGAATATTAATATCATATTAACTTGAAACGCATATATTATTCCGGCAATTCAAGGGATGAAATAATTATTTTAATATGAAAAAAATTATACTATTTATTATTATTAAATTATTTGCGAAAATTTTTTATCAAAAATAAAAATGATAATAATCTTTTAAGAAATAATATTACTATGAAAAATATCTAATTAATTTTTGGTTTTCTCTCAGTGTTATTATTGCAAGTTCATTTTTATCAAGTCTAAGCACGTTATTGTAGGCAATACGAAAAATTACAAAAAGCAACTTCTAATAAAATAAAATTGCCTTCTTAAATTAACATCTATTGGCACAAGATTCAATTTTAAGCATATAAAAAATCCATCTAATTTGTTTAATCTAATATCATTAAATGATTTAGAAATATATATAAACCCAATATTTTACAAACAAATCCATTTCAAATATTTGAACATCTAATTGAAAATGCATATAATTCTTTATGAGAATTTTATATTTTTTATGTAGTACTCACAAAACAGTTTTATTTGGCTATGAATATTAAATTCAATGCTTTTTCGAACAAAGGCAGGTTGATAACCAATTAAGAAGCTCGGAAACTTTCATTTTATATTTAAATGACTTTTTAAATTGCTTCTTAATTATAAAACTAGTATGCTTGAGCTTGACTATTTTTTAGCAATTAGGAGTTTCACAACAACTTCGAATCTAATATAAAACTAATAATTTATCAATATAGAATAAGGTAGAGCGGGGCACAAAGGTTCAATTGACTTTAAACAATTATATTGTAAAATCTAAGCCAATTATATCACAACAAATAACACATATGATATGTTTAGTGAAACTACCATCATTGTAGATTTTTTTTTGCTGTTTTTCAAAAATATATCACCAGTCCTTTTTTCCCATAGACGGAGCAAATAATGATATGTCTTATTTTTAATTCTAAAAATTTTACGTAATAATTATTATTCAACCAACGCAAAATGCAAGTTTTATGGGTGCATTTTTACAGATATAACACTGTATATGAGCTTGATCAGGTATTTTGTCAAAAATATTCATCACCACAGTTAGAATAACTATTTATTCAATTTAATTTTTTTTTAAATTGCTTTCTTTGACACGATTTATTTTATATTTATGAAACTGTTGACTCTAACTTAAAATTAACATTATTACATCTTATTAAACATTTAAATAACGTATACTTAAACAATATATTAGTCGAGGCCAGTTAATAAATAAATAAAAAAAACAATATATTGAGGTTTCGTAAATTAAACAACAGTGCTCACAACCAAAAAAACTAACAACAATATAAAATATTTTTGTTATGGATTTTTAAACATTGCCACTTATCTTCCGATAGCAAATTTCTAATAATAAAGGTGTTAGCTGGTTATATATCTTTTTCCTTCTACTTTCAAATGTTATTGTTAGGAAATTCTTAACTACACTTGTTTTGACATATCAGTGTTGGATCTTTTTACCCGCAGACCTTCAAACCCCGCCCTACTCTATATTTATTTTAACAGTAGTTTATCATTTTTTGAATTTTTACTATAAATCTTTATTTTTTATTGCTGATACACAATAAAATGAATTTCTTCTCTTGTATTTATTCATAAATCATTTACTTTTTTCCCATTATAAAGCAAATCATGCTTTCGAAAACAATGTGGATAAAACTTGTTCACAAACACTTTTAGTGTTTCGTTTTCATGTTTTTTATTCCTGGTGCTATTATATTTTTTGTTTCTTTATGCATTACGCAGCTTTAACTACATAATAATTAAGATATTATTTCACGAAAAAAGACTTTAATAAAAAATTTATAATAGAAAATATATAGAAACTAAAAGAAAACTCTGAAGAAAATCAAGTTATTGACAATAGACATCATACCATCTGCCTTCTATTACAATGTAATACGAAACGAAAGATTCTTATTTCATAATATGTAACCCATATTTATTTTTGCTTTTTGTCTCTATAATGCATAGAATCCATTCGATTTTTCTACAAATAAATAATATAATGATATCTCTCGAAACATATAATGATCATGAGAACAAATGTAAAGTTGAATGTAAAAATATAATTAAAACTTCTGTCGGAAAAAAATGAAATTTTGTTAAAAAATAACATGAGAAAAAGGTTAGGGCATCGAATGTCGAATAATACTAAAATGGGCATATCATCTAGTCTTGACTTGTTAATTGTCAATAATTATTAAAAATATCAAATAATAAAATTAATTTAACAAATGTTAATGCATAATAATTCTTTATTTGACTAATCGAGGCAAATATTTGAAATATCTTGATTTAATTCTTCATTGTTATAATTATTTATTTAAAGTAAATATTTTAAGCAAATAATATAGACGTTCTATAACAAGACTAAAATTTAATTTACAAGAAAATTTGATGTATTAAATCAGTTGTATTATTTATACTTTTTATCAATATTTTACATAATTTTATTATTGTTTTTGTTTCAAAATACATCACCGTTTTTGTATTTGGTAAACATCCATCCAATACATTATATGATATATATTATGATAAAATATACGATCTTAAAAAATATATATTATGATAAAACGCGATCTTAGCCTGCTACCTGGTAAAGGTATTACTGTATTAGGTAGGGCTTAAAGGTCCGCAGTCAAAAGATCCAACACCATAATCTCAAAAACAAATAATGTTAAAATTTTTTTAACAAAACTATTTGAAAGTAGAGGAAAAAAGATGTGTAATCAGCCATCGTCATAAAACAAGTAACGTCGCTATCGGGAGATAAACGGCCATGCTTGAAAATTTATAACAAAAGTATTTTCTTTCGTTACTTTACGAGACCTTTATAATATTTAAGTTTACGGTCTTTAATAGCTTAATAAAATGTATCATTAATTTTAAGTTAGATTCAACAGTTATTTTTATATAACCTCTATAATGGCTTAAATGTGGATGAGGACAAAAAAGACCAACTGAACCTTTACTATGGCAAAGGCGTAAAGAATAAATAATAGTAAATACAAATGTAAGAGAATAGTGTTATAACTTTGTAAAAATGCGCCCATATTTATATTCTGTATTGGTTGAATAAATATTATAAAAACTAGAATTTTCATCATATGTTCCTTGTAGACAAAATGTAAAAACTTATTTGATTAGACGCCGTTGTTTATATATGTTTGAATAAAATATATATATAAACAAAATCTAATTAAGCGGATTTATTGTTAGAATAAACATATTTTATTTTAAATGCATCAATTTTTCGCAAAATATATACACTGATTTAATAATTTTAAATCGACTATACAAAAATGAAAAGTCTTAAAAAAAAAACATTACAGACTTTCTTCTCTACTAACGCGAACGGTGACGCGCCAACCAACTC